GAGAGAGAGAGCTTGAGAGAGAGCTTGAGAGCTTGAGAGCTTGAGAGAGAGAGAGAGAGAGCTTGAGAGCTTGAGAGCTTGAGAGAGAGAGAGAGAGAGCTTGAGAGCTTGAGAGCGAGAGAGAGAGAGAGAGAGAGAGAGAGAGAGAGAGAGAGAGAGAGAGAGAGAGAGAGAGAGAGAGAGAGAGAGAGATCAGTGAGTGTTTGAGAAGCACAACAAAACAAGGGGCTGGGTGGCAACGGCATTAACCTCAAAATGCTCTGCATCAACTAACTCTACGTTCCGAATAAAATCTTCATAAACTCAATGTGTATAGACGTAACTATTGTCATATCCAAGAGAATATGGTTGCAAACTGTAGTTGACCACCATTTATATGTCAGAAAATCTGCACGACGATACTCTAATCAAGACGCCCCGTACCTCTGCCGCAAACGCTCCTTGGCGCTCATTCTCTGCTTACAGCTTGATTCCACCCTCACATGCATCCCACATGCCGAACCGACTCTCTCACAAGCCTCCAGCCATCACATCCATTCTCTCTCTCTCTCACCAGCAACCATGATGAGCTTGCTGCGCGACTCGACCGCAATGCTGCGGCGCGTCTCCGGCCCCTGCACCACCGTGGCTCGGCCGGTGGTACGCGCCATGGCGCTGCGTCGGAAGAAGAAGGCGGCTGAGAACCCGGCCCTTGAGGCTGAGCTGGACGCCGTGTCAGGCATGGCCGTGCTTCGTCGCCTTATGAAGGCTCGCCGCTTGGCTTTTCGCGGTGATGACATGGCGCTGGCTGGTGCGTGAACGACCTTCTGGCCCTCGTGGCTATGCTTCCGCTCTCGCTGCATGATGGCGGCTCCCTTTGCTGGTTGCATGCTTACTGTTGTTGCTGGCCTCTCTTGTTGGTATCTTTTGGGGCCCATCTTTGCGCCTTGGTAGCGTCAAGGCAACGCATCGAAGAGGAGCTGGCCAAGCTGCGCAACGCAACAGATCCCGCACAAATCCGTGCTGTACGTGTCGGACAGCACTCTGAGGGATTAGCCACCGCGTGTCTGCTCTCATGAATACTGCTCGTCTCTTGGCTTCTGGTCGGTGGTGGCTCTGCTGTATCTTCCGCATACACACGTGATTGTGCAGGCACACAAGCTCGGTCTCGAAGTTGCGGCCATCCTCGAGCAAAACGTCATGCAGGCCCAAGTGGATGATCAGGACAGCGAACTTTTCCGTGCGTAAATGCATGTACCATGCTCCTTTGCTCTCATCCGAATGGCGCACATCATTATTATTTGCTGTTTCTCAACATGTGCCGGTGCATGCACACCCTCTTCTAGGCATCAACTTCCACGACAAAACCCACTTCCCCGATAATGCAGCATCAAAGTGCAGCAACTAGAACCCCATTCGCCTTTGACTTAGAAACCAACCCATCTTCTCTCCTCGGCCCATCTTCGTGTGTGGCAAGAGACGTCGAAGAACTGTTGTTTAACCCGAAAAACCAGCAAGAGGAGCTGACCAGACCAACTCTCACACGCACACCTACTCGAGTCTTCAATTCAGGATGCCAACCAGCAGCACCACCAACACTTTTTTCATCTCTATGCATGCCAATGGCTTGGCCGCGCGCAGCGAGTCGCTCAGCGACGAGTGCGCTGGGCCATGGCTTCCCGCAACTGCGTTGGTCACCCCCGCCCGCATGTCATGAGTGGAGACGCGAACAAGGAGATGCCACACACCCAGACACAGACACACAGACACACACACGCTCACACGCACACACACAAACGTCGCGAGCAGGGGAGAGGGGTTGCCCCGAAACACGAAACGCACCTCGTCTTGCCGTTTAGCTCGCTTGGTCAGGAACAGGGTTTGGAGCTGAAGAAGTCGGTCCGGGATAATCTTGGCACGGCCTGAACCCGCACCTCGGTCCGAGTCTCGTTCCAAGCCCCTGAGGCATGGTGCGCAGAGCAAGTCAGCCGAATCAATCACACCAAGTTGGGGTCATGGCATTGCAAGGAGCAGGTTTGGCCCACAGCCATATCCATCTTCAAAGTGCGAGTGTCCACGGCCAAGCGGCACCTACAGGGCTCTCTGCGCCTGAAGGTATTGGTTGGCCGTGTGCTCGAGCGCTGCAATGGTGGCAGGTAGGCATGGCTGCCCACTGCGTTGATAAGAGCTGCAAGCTTCGCGCCAGCGCAGCCACAGCCGATTGCTGGCTCGCAACGGCATGCGCTGCCAATTGGCACTGTGGGCACGTCCCGCCACAACTTGAAACACCCGAGCCTTCTGAACGTCTGCCAGAGCGCGCGCTGCCTCCAACTGGCCTTCGGTCTGCAAAACGAATGAACGCGGTGAGCAAGGCGACGTGGCGGCTTGGGTGGCACACACGCCCCGGTCAAAGTCTCACGAGTAAGGTAGTCAACTGCTTGTGCAAGTGCTGATATTGCTCGACGGTCACATCAACCTGCATTGTTGAGCGTAATGAGCGGGGAGGATGGCGGTGACGGTGAGGAAGGCATGGGCAGCGATACACGAAGCACCGTACCCTGATCGGATCGTCGACCGGACAGGTGGCGTGGAGAGCGTAGAGCGTAAAACTGCCCAGCACCTGCGCACGCATGCCACGCCATGAGCAAGGCGGAGAACAGATCAAAAAGCCGACGCGGGTGGAACAAGGAGCAAGTCAGATCCTGCACCAACGGGGGAGAGGGGGAAAGGCGTCTCGGTTATCCAGAGCACACAAAGGCCCGTGACGGCATCGAGAACCTACGAGCTCACCAGAGGGCGCACGCATGTGATGAGGGAGCGTCTTTACGAAGCGCGGCGCAGGGGCGGGGACAATGAATGACCACTCACAGCAGGGCGCGGCAGACCCAAAGAATGAGCCCAATGCCAACCGGTCAGCTCGGTCTGCTTCCAGCCCCGCTGAAAGTCAGCCCAGGTCACCGTGGCACCGCTCAGGTCGAGCGTCGTCATCAGCTGCAGGCAGTCGCTGATCACGGCCTTCCAAACATCCTCCAGCCGTACGCCATCACCTGCATCACCCAACCCAGACCCGCCCCGACCTCGATCCCGACCCCGACCCTGACCTCGACCGCGACCTCTTCCCTGACCCCCTGCTCCACCACCCCGACCCTCTCCTCTCTCATTCATCGAGCCCACCGCTGCCATTCCGAGCGCGCGCACAGACACAAATTGTCTGACAAATGATAGTAGCCAGAAGGTTTAAGTAGTTAATGTATAAAATATACCTGTAAATGCAGACTTTATAACACTTATAACGTTATTTAATGTAGGTAAACATGTGGTAGATGTGCATATTTTTTGGCTCCTTGGCATTCCATTCACCAAACTCCAATAGAAGGTTAATGTATCCATCTATACAATTGATGCAGATTTGGTAATGTTATCAACGGCAGTATCTGCAGTTACTTTTAATGTTTGCGTAGGGGGAGGAACTGGCTCGTCTGAACCCTGAACAGTGAATCGCTCTCTCTCTCTCTCTCTCTCTCTCTCTGACGGTCGCGCGCTCGGTCGCCGTCGACCTGTAGCTGGTGTCGCGCGCGTCGCTGCGGCGTTTCCTTCCCTCCTCCTCCCTCTTCCCTCTTCTCTACTCCCTCGTCCACTGGCCTTTTCTCAAGTGCCTCTCCTCTCTTCTTCTCCTCTGCGCCCGCTGCTCCGTGTGCAACCATTATTGGGTGCTGGAGGTGCTGGAGGCGGTGCGCCAACGATTGCTCGTGTCGACCTTGCAAGGGTTGGGTAGCAGGGGTTTTGGTGCTTGCTGCTTGAACCAAGGACGTGCGGGCTGTGCGGCTGTTCCTGTGCACTCAGCCAAGCGCCTGCACTACCAGCTTTTTTTCGTTCTCTGCTGCTCCTTTTTCTGGTGCTGACGGGTCAGGAAGAGAACCGGCAACATGAGTCAACCCGTGAGTAGCACCATGACCCGCCGGCGATCGGTGATTGATACCTACTCGGATGGCCGTTCAGCGGTGCGGTTGGAAAACGGCAACAGCTATATTGGTGGCTGGCAAGATGGCAAATTTCATGGCGCCGGCGAGCTGGTCGGCGCAGATGGCCTGCGTTACAAGGGCCAGTTTCAGCTCGGTCAGTTTCACGGCCGCGGTACCTTGACCACCAAGGCGGGTACTTTTGACGGCGAGTTTCAAAACAACAAAATGCACGGCCAAGGCGCCTTCAAGTATGCCGACGGCTCCTCCTACACGGGCTCCTACAACGCCGGCATTCGCGAGGGTCAAGGCCAACTCACACTCCCCGATGGAAGTCACTACAAAGGCCCCTTCAAGGTCCGATCTGTTGCGATACCGCCCCCACCCCGCCAAGACGATCCCGCGCTCACCCAAATGCGTGGTGCCGTCTCGGTTTGTGACCCGCTATACTATAGAACGACAAGCAAGAAGGCGTTGGTGTTCTCGTCCTGGCGGATGGGTCCAAATATGAGGGTACGCCTGTTTTTCATTTCTTCTTTGCTCTTGCCGCCGAAACACCTTCGGCGCCCGTGGTTCCACATGGACACAACCGCCACTCACAGCCGTAATACCGGCCATCCTAGGCGAGTTCAAGAATGGCCAGCAGCACGGCCGCGGCACACTCACCTACGCTCACGGCAACGTGTACACGGGCGGCTTTGCCAACGGCCTCTTTGAAGGGCCCGGCGAACTCAAAGGCGCGTCTTCTTCCAGCTCTTCTCACCGCTCAGTACACACCTATCTTGTTCTCGCTGACCCCACCCATTCACATGATCGCACTTCAGGCGCTCATCTACTAGTCAAGGGCAACTTTGTCAAGGGGGCTCTGGAAGGCCCCGGCGTCATGTCTGTACCGGATGGCCGTGCCTATGAAGGCGAGGTTCGTCCAATGCTTCCTTTCAACATTGCCCACAGGCTGTGTTTATCGCGATCAAGGGGGGATGGGCTTCTTCTGACTCAAGTTTCTGCATACCACCTTTGACAGTTTGTTGGCGGCAAGCCCCATGGTCAAGGCAAGCTGACCTTGCCAGATGGATCGCATTTTGAAGGCGCCTTTGTTTCTGATAATCGGCAAGGTCCAGGCGTTCTCAAGAGCAAGCGCGCGGGCCTCCCTCCGTTTACATACGATGGACTGTGGAAGGTGCGGCCAGATGCCAGCCCCATTGTTGCTGTTTGCTGTGGCTCGGCCTTGTCTCGACGTTCAACTTGATTTTCCTCGTTTCCCCCTTTTTTTCCTTCTTTCTAGAACGACAAACGCCATGGCCGTGGCAAGCTCACCTTTGAAACAGAGAAAGGCTCACTCGTATTTGATGGGGAGTTTGACAACGGCCGACCCCTGGAAGGTACGGTGTTTCGTGCTTGTGTGACACACTCCTTCTTGCACTGTGAGGCCCCTTCTTGTCACTGCCTCCTCACTCACATCTGTATCCTGCCTTCCCCCCTGCATTTAGGTGGCACTATGACATGGCCCGATGGGCATCAACAAACTTTGAAGGTGGAGGAACGTTTTGCCGCATACCTGGGGCCTGGCTCTCATGCTTTTGGCTGGGAACTCGCTCTTCTCAAGGTTCTCGAGGCCCAACGCGCTGCCGTGGTCAGTTGTCTCTCTTTCATCTGAAATCTCGCCGGTTGACCCTTGCGTCACGCGCAATCGGCATTCACCGCCCGCGAGCACTCACTCTCAACCCTTTGATCCCTTTGACCCCCTTTTTTGTTTGGATCTGAATAGGGTCAAGACGCACAAGGAGCTGGTGCGCAATAAACCAAATTGTCTTTCTGGTTCCAAGCTAAACTGCTGACGCGTTGCTTTGCCTCTTGTCTTGACACGCTGGCGTGATGAGCACCTCTGCGCCAGACCCGATTTTCTCGTCGTTTTCTTTGACCAAGCCGCGTCCTTTCCAGCTTTTCAGTAGCTTTGGCGACTCTTCTCTTGCGTGTCTTTTTTGATCAACCCGTTTACCAGTCGGCATGTCCCAGCTGTTTGACCCTGCGTCCTTTTTAATCAACCCTCGTCTCGTTCACTCCTCCCCAGCCCCAGCTACAGCCCCAGTTCAGTTAAGTCCCCAGTCCCCAGCTCCCAGCTCGGGCCAGCCGGTTGTCAGATTATTATTGTCAGACGTTTGTTTGTACATTTGCTTGACAACGCATTTAAACCTCTCTTTCAACGTCTCTGTCTCTGTTTGTGAAACTTTTACACTCTGTCCCTCTGAACTTTTTCTCTCTCTGTACTCTTTCTCTGCTTTGAGCTTGCTTTTTTTTGCTGAACTCTTCTTCTTTTCAAACCTTTCTCTGTGCTTGTCCATTCTCTTCCTCTCTTTCTCTCTCACGTTCTCTGAATTCTCTCTCTCTCTGAATTTTCTCTGAACAACTTACGCGCGCGCTTTCTCTCTCTCTCTCTCTCTCTCTCTCTCTCTCTCTCTCGCTCTGTCGAGGTCGTGATCGCAATCCGCGTTAGACTTGCCGTGTGCCTGTATTGGAGGGGGGTGGGTGTGACCAGGTTGAGGAGGGGGAGGGGAGGAATCGCCTTGAGGGACTGGGGGTGTCTTGGTGAGGACGGCGATCACCGACATGACGACTGAGGAGAAGATTACACAGTTGCTGCTGGCGGCGAGAGATGAGCTCGCGCGGGAGCGGGACGAGGAGGGTCTGCGGCTTGCCACGCAGGCCCAGCAATTGGCGCAGGCCCATCCGCAGCTCAGCGATTTGCTGCGGTTCCAGGTTCTGCTCATCTTTGGCGAGGCAGCGCTGGGTATGTTGTGCCGAACCCAGCTGGCCATGGCGCCTGTCTGTCCCGGACAAGGGGGACCTCATCTCGTTGCCTTTGGTGCTGCGCGCAGCTATTGGCGATATTGACACGGCGGAGAAAAGCCTGACGCAGGCTCACTGGAATGCTCTCAAGACCCAAGGCACCGTGGGGGCCGATCACCGTGCCCAGCTTCATCGCAGCTTGGCCGCCGTGTATCTGGCCCGAGGACTCACGGCCGAGGCCCTGACCCACATGGCCGAAGACATTTACCATGCTTCCCTGGCATCGGGCAACGATAGCATTGCAGTCGCCTTGGCCTACTTTCCCATGGCCTCTCTCTTCATCGATCGTCTCCAGGATTATTCGCGAGGCTTGGTCAGTGTGGCGCGCTCGGTGCATCTTCCTAATCCACGCTGCTTGCTCACCACTTCGTGCCACCACCTGGTCCCACGCAGACGTATGCACGGCAATCTGTTGCCGTGTGGTTTGCTCACCTTCAAAGCCATTTCGAGCCTGAAAAAGTCGCTTGGCAGGACCTCGAGCCGTACGAGCGCACTGCGGGGCGTCGCATCCTTTTTCAACTCAGACAAATGCTTAGTGACGGCGAAGCTCCGGAATACGACATTACTTTTGCCGTGGCTGCCGATTTGTGCCAAGCTGCCTTGGCTCTGCAGTTCAATGACCTTGGCCTGGCCCAGGTGCGTGCCCAAACGACCTCACTCGCCGTGGTTGCAAAACCCGCTCCCTCACCCGCATCGTTCTGGCAATCGCATCGGGCAGGAACACCTCAAGCTGGCCGAGGTTCAGCTGGCATCTGCCCACGCTGCTTCACCGCTTGACCTGCCTGTCTCACAGCTTCAAGAGATGCGCGATCTGCTCGCGGGTATCATTCAGACCCAACAGGCCTGAGGCCTCTGCAGTCTTCTTACTGCTCCAACCTCTTTTCTTTTTTGTGCTGTGCAATGCAACGGCATGACAACATCAATTGGATCCATGAGCATGTCAACGTGTTCTTCAACTGGCTGTTGTCAATTCGTCGCCGGAATGCTGCTACAACTCAAACCCATACACGAGTACAAGCAGACACAAGGAGCTGTTTTTAAAAAAAAAAAAAAATAGAAAGGATTGAAAGAACGAAAAAAACAAAAAAACAAAAAACCTGTTACAGTCCACCAACAGTTGGGAGGAGGTCAAGATCAGAAGTGTCTGGGATAGATGGATTGGGATACGAACAAGATTCACTACACACACACAGACACACATGGTCTTCGCCTTGCAACCTTCTTCTTGTCAAGCAATCAAGGTTTGTTCAAGTCAAAGCGGCAACTTGGCTGAGACCAGTCACGAGGGCTATTGCAAGTTAGCCTGGTTCAGGACCGTGCAATGCCCAAACCACTGCTCCAACTCCACTTGCGAGTCCGCACAAATAACAGTCTCGTGATAGGCACTGGCTGTGACTCGAAGCAATACAAAGGAGAAAGGAGTGGGAAGCTTGCGTGGCCGCGTCAAGCTGTACACGCGAATAGCGCTGTCCAACGCAAAGCGACCCAACTCCTGCGCCAGTGTTTCATCCTTGAAGACCACAATGCTTCCTGGGCCATCGGCCCCTGTTGTCTCGATCCGAGCGTAACACCGACGAAAGCCGCTGCCACGGCCTAAAAGACCACCAGTCCAGGGTCCTATGCACACATTCGTGCAACAGCCAGATGAGCCAAGCCGCCCCAAGCCAGACGACACACACAGAGACACAGGCACAGACGCAGAGACAGATACCCCGAAAAGTGCGGCGGACGGTGCGTCGGTGCGCTCAACTCACCGATGCCATTGCCTGTTTCCATGTCGACGGAGCGAATGTGCAGCCAAGTCGAAGGGCTCTGAGCACCCAGGGCTGAGTGTAGAATGGCGTCAAAGGGGTTGTTCTGAATTTTGAAATGAAAGGGTCCTCGCCACCGAGCTGAGGCTGCAAAAAGCGACTCCCAGGCCGCTGCATGGATTCAAAAAGAGACGAGGTGTGTGCCCAATGATTCATCAGAATAAGAATGCTTCAGAGCCAAAATCAAACCCTGCAAACCACGAATCAGTCGCAAACGACGTACCGAGCGGACGCATCAAGCCGAGCTCATTGACCACCTCCACGACGGCTAACCCAGGCTGCACCTCGCTGCCTTGCCGCTCACACAGGGTGGCCAGCACCTACTCACACCCAAGCAACAACAACAGCACGGGTATATGAAGTATGAGCAGGCTTAGAGCCTCAGGAGGTGCACACGGGTCTCGAGGACACGATAACAAACCTCTGATGCTACCGTCTCACTGCTCAGGGGAAAGGTGTGAGAGGTATCGTGGATCTCGTCCTCAATCTCAAAAATGAATTCGGCCAGGTTGCCGGTACCCTTTTTGGTCGAAAGTGCCTGCTCATGCGCCTGCTTGGCAGCCTCGATTTTGAGGCGCCCAGCTTTGAGCATGAGATCGTGGTCTGACTTTTGCTCCATGTTGAACAGCCACTCGTGGTAGGTGATGCATGCTTCCAAGCACTTGTACTCCTTGGCCATGAGCGCCACATCGCCCGGTGGTGCCTCGTTGTCAGTTTGCACATGCATGAGCGAGGGCGCAAACACCCCTGCCAAGTTGGTTGTGGTCATCTTGTTCGAGGCCGCATGCTCCGCAACCACAGCCAGATGAGCGCACAGGCGACGGAGGGTCTGGTAATGGGCCGGGGGCAGCTGTTCAATGTAGTGTTTTAGGTTGTACAACCGTTGCTCATGGTCGGCAATGCGCATTGTGTCCAAAAAGCCGTCGTAAAGTGCACGAGGAAAAAGGGACTCGGGCAGCTGGCGAAAGTACTGCTTTAACAAGCCAGCCACGTCGGTGGCCGATACTTTGGCCGGATCCAGCTTCACGCTCGTATCGTCCATGTTAAAGGCCTGGCGGAGGCGGCGCATGGTGGCAGCGTTGCCAGGTACGCGGTAGATGCCCTCCTCAAAGAGGCCACGCGTTTCAATGAAGGAGCAACACATATCCACCACGCGCGGAACCAGAGTCGGGCTGCTCTCGAGTTCCGCACCAAAGACTTGGGTTGCCTTGAGATGGCGGAACCACTCGTCCCGCACTTCCTCCGTATTGGCGCGCAGTACAACCAAGTCGTGGACACCAACCAGCGTGAGATCAACCCGGGACTTGCTCGTCTCGAGCTTGCCGTCCACACCTCTGCTCGCCTAAGCACAGCGCAAGCAAAAGATAACAAGAGAAATCATTACGGCAAGATGAGCCGTCACGTTCGTGGTGCACTCGGTGTTGGGAACAACACAAGATGAGGAGCAGTGAAACGGAAGATAACACAACGCACCAGACCCGCGACAACATCGTAGAAGTTTGACAGGTCAATCTCGTTCTGGTTTGGGTCTGTTTGCGAAAGAAAGTAGGACAGAGCCTTGCCCTGCAAGGCAAAGTACCGCTGCTTGTAGCCGACACCCTCTTGATGAATCTGCAGGTGGCCCACAAAGCTGCAATTTTCAAAGTCGAATCCCCGATCGCCCAGCGGAATGGCGTCAATGTTGGCCTGCAGACACTCGGCCCAGGTACGAGCCTGCTCTGGCGTTTCCGTTTGCAGCACAAAGCGGCGACTTGACAGCGTGGTGACACACAGGTAGCCATGCTCGGCTGCGAGGACAGAACGCAAGTTTTCATTGTTGGCGGACTGTGCCTGCCCGTGGCCATAACTGTTCAGAATATCTGCGGCCGTGGTGGCCTGCGCCGTCTTGAGCGACTGCAAGGGAATTTCCATGGCCGTGGGCGCGCCCTCGGGAGTGCCTGCACCGGTCGTGGAGGCCTCTTGAGGGCTGAGGCGCAGCACGCCCATCTCGTAAAGGGCATCATACGGGGTCAGAGTAGCGCTGCGACTGTCAAACAAGGCCAGGGGCCCCTCAAACTGGGTGGGTGTTGGGGCAGGAAAATCGACATCCTCGCCCTCATCGTCATCGTCAGTAGCGCCAGGTCCAAAGACGTTTCCATCCGTTGAGGAGGCGCTTTGTACGCTAGCATTGAGGCTCTGCTGTTCGTCGGCACTCAGTACGGCGCCATTGAGCGAGAGCAGTGCTGCTTGGAGCGAGCGCTTGGCACGACGAGCGAGATACAGAGCGCTGTGGCCCGTATTGGCTTCCTGTGCTTTGGGATCGGCACCGGCCGCTAGTAACATGGCCGTGTCCAGCAGTTCTGATTGCTGAACCGCCGCGCACAATTGTTCATTAATGTCCCGAGCCGGATCATGCCAAAACTTGACAAATTCGTGCTTTTCATATTTGCGCCGAATGAAATCCTCCTTGGTGGGCCGGTCGCTATTCATGTTAGGTTTGACCCCCTCGGGCAAGTTGCCTTCCCAAATGGTGTTGGCCAGTTTGACACCGAGGGCCTTCATCACCTCAAGAGAATCGCGCGGCCAATCATCCAGCGTGGCAGACCGCACCTTGCTAATGTGCACGCCCATGCTACGATGAACGCCCGAACACTTTTGAATGCAAAAATTCGTTCATCGGTGAGTGAGTACCAGGGCGCCGGCAACAAACCCCCCCCCCCCCCCCTTCCGAGCCATTATCTTGAAAGTAAGTCTTTTGCCTTAAGCGAGAACGTACATCAATGCAGACCATGGTACCGAGATTGATTGAGGCCCAGTCTGGATTGGCCGTGCTGCAATCAGCACAGCGCAGGTTGCTGGTGTTTTCACGAATGATTTTCATTGCCTAAAGCATGGCACACCAAGTTTGTTAGAAAAGGGGGAAGACGCCTCATCTCTCCGTCCAAGAAACAGAAATCCAAAAAAAAAAAAAAAAAAAAAAAAAAAAAAACACGCAGGCTCGAGGTCTTGACCTCGTCGGGGCGTATCGTATCGACCACACTCTTGGTCTGCTTCTTGTGGGAGGTGGCAGCGGAATCGAGTTGGTTGAGACTCCAGAGAATGGAGTTTTGTATTGCCTGAGTCCAATCACGTAGCTCCTGATCTGATGCAGCTTGGAACTCGATGTGCCGTTGCTGGCTATCCACCAACTTGAACTGATGGTTGCGCGCTTTGCGGCCTGTCCCAACCTGAGCGAAATGGCAAGTGATAGACAGTCATCGAGCGCGACTATTAGCCACAGGTGGACAGAAGGCGGCGGCAAGAGATCAGAAGACCAGATCGCGAGCGCACCTTGACTGTAATCAGCATGGTATTGATGCGGTCCACCGGATTCTCATCCTTGAAGTCCTGATACGTCTACAGGCAAGAGGCAAACATTAAAGCAAGCGGGTCAACAGGAATGAGCAGCGAACCAACTAGAAGTCAAGGTGGGTGGTGCGCCGATGGATCGCAGGTACAAGCCGTACCTCGTAGAGACAGAGTTGGCCGTCTTTTAAAGCAATATACCGACGTGCCCAGCCCATGGCCCCGCAAGCGTGCCGCATGTACCCTTCCTTGTCTGGGTCGGCCATGCTGCCTCCCGCCTGCGGCATCAGAAGTAGCATTGTGCAAAAGGAAATGAGACAACTCACGAGCTAGCTAAATGCGAGAGGCAAAATGAATGCGAGCACGGGCGGAGTAACGCAGCAGCATGTGCTTGCGTCTTGGAAAGCAAAACGCACGGTCGGTTTGGGCTTGAAGAGCTGGATTTGCGAGCCCAAGAACATCATCCATGACGTCATCTCCTCGGGAGATTCGGCCCTGTGGCAGCGGTGAGGGATGCGTGAGAATGGGGAAAGGACAAGTGTCAAGCCAACGGGAGAAGCCGAGAAGGTGAGCGGGCAGAAGGAAGAAACAGACTTGAAGATGAAGGTGCGCTCGTAGGTATCGAGTTCGAAACGATTCTTGTGGCCAGTATCGTGACGAATGGCCTTCATTTCCGTCAGGGCGATGCACCCTTGAGGGCGAGTCTCTTTGTCTCCGACAAAATAGGACAGCACGCCTTCTTTGTACACGCAATACCGTCGATCCCAGCCTGAGTGACATTGACAAGGGGAAGAAAGGTTAGTGAGAAGCCAACCCACAAGCCGTGGGCATGACGACCAGACTCGGGTTGCCAAGGTTCTGTACCCTTGCGGCCAGTGGCACCACCGCGCTTCAAGAGCCAGCCTTCCTTGGTGGCGTGTGAGTCCACCTTGGAGCGTTTTTGCAACGTGCGAGGTGCGGCAGCCTATTTTTCAGAACCGTCACCAAGATCGGTGGCAAGTGATGAGCTAAGAAGGCTCGCCCTGCTGTTTATTCGAGCACAGCGCCAAAGAACCACGTACAGAGCGCTCGGTGAGCATAGCGGCTTGTTCTCGCGTCATGCTGGAGGGCAATAGAGAGCTCTCTCGACGTTGTCCAATCGACACCCTGTGTCGTCCACGTTCATTGGAGCACGCGCAGAGCACGGATAGAATGGTGAGTGCATGGGGAGGAAGAAGGGCCCGCGGATGGAACACGGTCAACAAACCGGCGTAATTGCGAGGCATCGGAGGGTAAGCGGGGCAACATGATGTACGAGCCCTCATCATCGTCCGAGGGAGCGGCAAACTCGTTGCGGTGGACATCAGGACCCGAGGTGCGAGTCGGGAGCTTCGGGGGCTGGGGGCGGCCTGGGGGTGGGGGAGAGGCTGCCAGATCGGATCGCTAGGCCGTGTGGCTGTTGCGCATGTCGAACGTGAGACAAAATCACGGCTGCGGACGATGCATCAAGGGTGAGTCAGGGGCGCGGGGGTGTCTACGACCAACATACGCAAGGGCGGGGGTGCCTTGGGTGAAAGCGGGGTTGCGGGGGTGCTTGCGTTGCCACTGGTAGTGCTGGTGGTACTGCGAGTAGAGTCCTCGCGCTGGGGCCGAGCTGGGGCGGGATCTGAAGGCGGGGAGGGGCGTGCTGGGGCCGACTCGGCCGGCGGGGGTGGGCGCGAAGGTTTGGGCACTGGGGTAGCGTGAAGTGAGGGGGGGGGTGCAGCACGATTTGAGGGCGGCAAGAGAGCAGGGCCTCGAGTTGAAGAGTCGCTGGGTCGAGTTTTTCGGGGCACGGCCGGTGGAGCGGTGGCGGCTGCAGACACGGGCACGGGGGCGGAGTCGCGAGGGGGTGGGGGGCGACTCGGAGGCATGATGGGCGATTTGGAGCGGGGCTGAAGCTTTTTCTCCTCTTGCGCCAGTGCTGGGGTGGGGCGCAGGGATCCAGCTTTGCGGGGCAGTGGGGGAGGGGCGGCTACAAAGGTAAAAGGCGCGGCCAAGGAGTGAGCAGGTTGAGAAGAGGTGCTGCGGCGGTTGCGGCGGGATACAATCTCTCAAGCCGAGGGGATGACGGGCGAAGAAGGCATCATGGACCAAAGGCAGAAGGGGGGTGGGACATACAATCGCTATCGTTTTGCTCTGTGGACGTTGAGGGGCCTAGCAGGGCGGAGAAGGATAAGCAGGAGAAGGATAAGCAGGAGGTGGTGGTGGTGGTGGAGGAGGAGGAGGAAGGAGGGAAAAGAGGATGAGGGGTGGGTGAAATCATGTGTAGTTCAGCGCCAAGGGGCACAGTGCCAGCACGAATGGCCAACCTCGGGATTTAGGGGGAACGGGTGGCGGAGCCTTGGTTTTGGTGGGTACGACAGGGGGCTGAGCTTGTGTAGAAGCGGGCTGGACCGAAGGGGCCATCAGTTCTTTGGCATTTTTGAGGAGGCGACGACGATGGCCAATTTTATCCATGCCCATGGTAATCAGTTGTTCCTCAGTCAAGATGGAGAGCTGATGGATCGAGGTGATGCCATGGTGCTCGAGCAGAGCGCCATATTCCTCCAGTTTGAGAGAGGTGAGCCAAGTTGTGAGGTCCATGATGATGATGCTGATGATGGCGAAGATGATGGCAAATAGATCCTAGCTAGCTGGCTCGGAGGCGCGAAGAAAAGGCAGGGGCACGAGGGCCCTTGTTGGCTGGCTCAAAGTTCTACTGAGGTGGTTCACTGCAAAAGAAGGCTTTTGTTCAAAGGGGTGTGCCTGTGCCAGCCACGCGATGAACGTCGCGTCGATCTGCTAGCGGGCCACGGGGCGCTGCATTGTGCCGCCACCGGCCAGTCGAGCTACAAGGGGGCGATGGAGCGAAAAAAAGTGGCGCCTCGGCGCCAGCCACTGTTTGTGCAGACACGCGGCCAGACCTCAAGACTGAGCCCCTAAGCAAAGCAAGGCCCCACGGCCATCGTGTACAACGGTAGCAGGCAGGATCAAGAGCCATGAGCACCACCTGACGCCACTGGCCATCGCGGGAGCCAGCCCGTCGCCCGCCCCTTTCCAGTGTACAAGCGCTGCTATACTGATGGCGATGATGATGATGATACACACCTCCAAAGCCGTACGACGATATTGTGACCAAAATCGCAAGTCTCCTCAGTAAAGAGCAGAGGCAGCCCGACCGTACTAGCCAAGGCTCCCTCCCCCCGCCGACTCCAACTTGACCTCGTCACGAGAGTGAGAGAGAGAGAGAGAGAGAGAGAGAGAGCGTGAGTGTGAGAGAGTGTGTGTGAGAGAGAGTGAGAGAGAGAGAGAAAAAAATAATAGACGCGCGAGTGTGTGTGTGTGCCGTCAGAGAGAGAGAGAGAGAGAGAGACAGAGACAGAGAGGGAAGAGAGAGTGTGTCAAAGTGTAAAGAAAAGTGAGGGAGGAGGTGATGTGTGGGCAAATGGATAAAGGCAATTTCATGCTACAAGCAGAGAGAGTGAATGGTATTCATAGAGAGCGAGAGGGATGCAAATCAAAGGCACTGGGCCATAAATCAAACCCCCCCCCCCCCCACTGCGATCGCTTGCTCCCTCGTCTCTCCATCTTGTTGGAGCTCGCCCCAGCCCTGTCGACAGGCAAGTCGATTAGATCGAAGGCCATCGGGGGCCATCGCCGCAGAGGGCTCTTACGCGCACCAGGCCGGCTCGACTTACGCCGCTGTGACAGTTGGTAGCAGAGCTGGATGAGCTGGATGTCAAGCGTCACACATTTGTTACACTTTACCGCTTACCACCGAGCGCGCTACCATCTGATAGACTCATCCCCGATAATCATCTGACAATAGCATATTGTCAGATAATTGCCGGCGGCTGTAAGAAAGCTGAAACGCGACCGGTATCACACTTGGTAGCCCTTCTTTCGGCTGCTGACACCGTCTGCCGGCAAGTGTGATGCTGTCAAGGTGTAAGCCGTGATAACGTTGAACTTGGGTGTGGTATCACACACGGCACACGTGTAGCCGCGCTTCTTTTGTTCCACGACTGCCTTCCTCTGCGTTGGTATCCCCGTTGACTCACTCTCTCTGACGTCACACTTGCACTCGAGCTCTTCTCTTCTTTTATCTTTAGTTCCAAGCTTGACGCTTGTCGTGCTCGTGTGACCTCTCTTCCCACTGTCTTCGCCTCATCCACACCTCTCCACTTTGCTCCTCTCTCTCTCCCTCTCTCTCTCTCTCTCTCTCGTAAGTGCGCGAAACGAAAAAAAAAAAAAAAAAAAAGGGCAGCCTTGAGAGCATGTGCTCGGACTATGGCCTCGCTACTGGCACCCCTGTCCGTGCTGCATAAAACAGTACAATGCCTCTGCATTTCAGGCTGTTATCGGGTCCATGGTTCATGCACCTGAGGCTGGGACAGGGATGGTATTGCCCGCTGACGCTCACACTGTCGTGCATGGCTCGAACCCTTCGTTGGCTTGGTGGCTGCTCGACCACCTGCTTGCTTGTCCATCCAGCTCCCTGGTCCAGTCTTGCGCCGGCACTCTTGTTGATCCGTTCGGTCTGTGACCGACCATTCTTAAAGCTTAGTACCTCCAAATTCACACCGCTACCATGGAGCCCAACATGGAAGAAGAACAGTCCTTTCAGCGCGAGCCCTGGTGCGTCCGCGGCGCTGCTTTGCTCGGCCGACTTGCCCGACTTGAACACCGTCGTGGCAGCCGCATCGCCTTGTGCTCACCACCATCTGCTCTTCCCTTTTGATTGACCAACTCCCTGCTTGACCCAATCACAGCCCTTACCGCATTCTCGACGACTGCGGTGCTGCCTTTGCCATGGGCGCCATCGGTGGCACCATCTGGCATGGCGTTCGCGGCTACCGCAACGCCCCCACTGTGCGTCCTCTTGTCTTTCCCGTCTGAAACATGCAACACTCCAAATTTGAAGTCTGCTCCTGCCCTTCCTCCGCCTCTAGGAGGGGTTGTTTTCTCTCTCTCTTTTTTTTTTTTTTTTTTTTTTTCAAAATATCCTTCCCCTTTCCGTTCTTCCTCTCTTTCTGTGTTTGCCCTGCTTCAAGTCATGACTGATCAAGCTTACTTGCCGCTCCCTTGGCACAGGGCCTCAAATACCGCGAAATGATCAGCGCCGTCAAATTAAGGGCACCCACCGTCGGTGGTAAGCTTTCTCATCTCGAATGGTCCCGACCTCATGCGCGCCTTGTGCCTTTGCCAGGCCGTGAAGGGCTTTTGCTCGAGTCAACTTACGCAACCCTTTTGTGTCGGGGCAATGTGCAGGCAACTTTGCCATTTGGGGTGCGCTCTTCTCCACCTTTGACTGCAGCTTTGTGGCTCTTCGTGGCAAGGAGGATCCCTGGAATGCCATCTCTTCGGGCTTCTTCACCTCGGGTCTCCTCTCCATCCGCTATGGTCCCAAGACTGCCTTCAAGGCTGCTCTGGGTGGTGTAAGCGCCTTTCTTTGGCTCATTGTCCGCCAAACAAGATCTTGAAGCAACGCACAACTCATCCCACTGCGCGTTTCATTACCCCTGACTATAGGCCTTTATCTTGTCGCTGATCGAGGGTGTGGCCATTGCCATTAACCGATTCCAAGCAGATGCCGCCAAGCCCAAGCTTCCTGAGCTGGCAGAGATGCCCGCCGATCCCCTGGGCCCGCCTCCCTCGGCCAACGCGGCCTACTAAGCTTCATCAAAGTTCAATGACACTCTGTAAGGAGGTCCCGGGCGGGCGCTGGCGTCCCGTGTGTTTGCCCAGATAACCTTCTCCTTCCCACTCTGTGCCCACCCCGTGGTTTCTGGGGTCGTGCCCCCTTCTCTCTTGTTTGTTTGGACCCTTAGCCCTGTCCTGGGTGGGCTTCACGGTGGCTGCTGTGCCGTCACATGCCTTCCTCTTCCGCATACACAACCACTCTTTCTCTTTGTGTTTCTCTCAACTGCCCCAATGGTGTTGGCTCTCTTAGCAAGCGCCTTGACATGGTTAACAACACCCTTGAAAAATTCAAATCAAAAACCTCTTGCATGCCAGACTCTCTCCCACGAGAGAGGTCACCATCCAGGTCTCAACACCACACACACACACACACACAAAGAACCAGGCGAGTGAGCATCATCCCTTGAAGTCACCAACTGCAAGTACCTCGACCCAGCAACATTTCCAAAGGGCACGTTGTCACATGAATATGACCTCCACCTCACAGTGAACGAACCGCGT